CCGTAGCCACACCCACGTGCCTCAGGTGGACCTGGCCCAAACCCAGTGTACCCCGCCCTGACCCGACTCTTTCCAACACTAACCCGGTGGACGGACGCAGGGTGGCGGCACAGTTTGGTTCACCTGGTTTATCTGTTGATCCCCTACAAATGAACCGTTCTGATTGGATCTTTTGTGATTAAAGTACATTTTAGGCAAACACAGTCGAGCTCAGCTCGGTGACCCAGTAAATGTGTTTCTTCCCCTGCTTGTGGTTTTTAAATGCGACAAACCAGGCCACCTGACTGGAAACCACACCACCTGCTTACTGGTCCCACTCTTCAGAAATCTCTAACACTGGGTGACTCACCTGGACTCTGGGTACAATAGTTCAGGACATCAAAGAAATTAACATCTGTTAAAGTAGGAAATGTATAAACAAGCATAATTTTCTTAAGCTTAAAAAGCATCTTTGAGTTTCATCCTTTCACTGTTCTTACAAAAAGTCTAAAAACGTTTTGATTGTAAAAGTTTTTTATTTCCAACTTCCCTCAAACGCAGCATGAGATGCTTCTGTAATGACGTGAAGGTGTGGTTTGGGTCCAGCCAATCACTTTCCTGTCCTTTCTCTGGTCCAACGCGTGAGTCGGCTGAACCCGGAACCCCGCTGCTTCAAACGCGTTGAAGGCCGCCTTCGCCACCGCCGTCTGGCTTCCCGATTTGTTCCTCGGTCCGTGCTGAGTAGTGGCGCTGAGTCCTGATAGGTTCACTGACAACAGCGTCCCTCACTGATTAAACCAGAAATAATTTAGAGCAAATGTGTGGAAACATCCGGTGGCGGCGGTTCGGTCGGACGACACATTTGTCAGAAGCAACCTGGACTCGAGCCTCGTGTCCTCTGTGTGCTCTAGAAGTGGAACTTTAGTCTGGTTGGAGTTTCTCCAACGTTCCACCAAAAGTCCAAGAACTTGTATTTGAAGGGACTGATTGTCCGGGATCTGTCCGGGCAGTCGGAGTTCCTCCGGTTTGTTATGTGTGTCAGGACAAAATAATGAGGAACATAGTGACGTTTTTGGGGTTCTCCGACTTCGAGGCATGGACTGTCAGCAGGTTCCTCCTTCACGCTGGGCCTTTTTGCCTTTAAAAAAATTGATTGTAACGCAGGAAATGAGTCTAGAACTTTCTGCCGTCAGACTTCTGGACT